TTTTTTTTTTTTTTTTTTTTTTTTTTGTTTTCGTTATCAAAGAGTTGAAGAGTTAACAATGTTTATCAAAGAGTTGAACGTTGAACAATGATTTTTTAGTGTTTTTCGTCCCAGAGTAGAACAATGATTTTTTTTAACAATATTTTCTAGTCAACAATTAAAATGATTTTAGCACAGTCATAATGATCTAATTAATTAGAGTACGAAATTAATCATTTTTAAAAATTAACATTTAAAAGTAATCAATTAAAAATTAATTTATTCAATTTATTAACGAAACTAAGTACTATATATCTTTCAAAACTAATAATATCCAATAATTATTGCATCATCAATAGAATCTACTTTCATGATCATTCATTTGGAACACTATTTCTACGTAAACAATTATGCGGCATACTATTTCTACCTAGAAGTTTAATACTTTCATATATGAATTAAATATTTCCAACTTGTAAATATTTTTAAAATTCAAGTTAAATTTTGAAACAAATAAAAAAAATGCATTTAAAATTAAAAGGTAACATTTGGTCGAGACACTCGTTAGAGTAGCTTGCTTAGGCTGTAGGGCTCAAGGGTGGTGGGGAGTGAAAACAATGCCTTACTATAAATATGGGGAAAGCCTCTTTCTTTCTTTCCTATTTAGTGTAAGATATTTTGTGAGTAATAGTCTTTCTGGGCAAAAATTCCCCATGATAAAAAGTACCAAAATTCCCTATGATAAAAAGTATTTGGTAAAAACAAGATATGGCAAGACTTAATAAGCTTTTTCCTCACTCACCCTGCTACAAGATGTCACCCTTAGAGGGATTTAGCAGTACTCGAAGGAAATGCCACTACGCCTTCGGCATTGGCACTCAGTGGATGGAGCCTTACATGAAAGATTGTGTCTCTGATGATATATGTTAACAACAACGTCAACCATCACATCAGAGTAATACAGTTCACAACCTAAGTAAGGAGTTAGGTGGGAGCCTATTCACTGTCTAACGTCAAACCTCCGTATCTCTACGCCGCGCTGCATGATGAGGATAATGCAGTAACCGAAGGAATTGCCACTACGCCTTCGGCTTGTGCGCACAGTGGAGGGTGCCTAACCGTAAAGGAGGGTCCGGTCAACGATGCAACAGTTAAACAACGCACCCGGAAGGTTAAGGAGTAGGTATACATTGGTTATAGTTAGATGTTTGGGTTTGTGAGAACGGTATGAGATCTTTTGTGAGTATAATGATGATAGGTATAGCTATCATGTACCCTAATAGTCTAGGTTTATAGGAGAGTACTTTTTTGAGTCATTTCAAATCTAGCAAGTGTTGACATGATTATGAGACATTTCAAATCTTGCTAGTGTTGACATGATTTATGTGAACCATCGTATGGTGTCGTGGAACATCTATATTTGATTAACACAAAATTTGGGGGCTTTCATATTTTATAGACACGGACTTAATTTCAAAGCCGTATACCCAAATTCTCTCTAAAACTCTGACTTTAAAGGTGAAGGCTCGGGGCCCTTTATGACCCTTCACAAAGCCTATTATTGATACTCATGTCGACATCGTTGCCTCTGTCCTGCCAATGCCTTAGCTTGTCTTTCTTACACAACTATTTGGTGTATTGGATGATGCACCATCCTCTTCTATCATCTCATGGACTTTTCTATCTTGGCACTCGTGTGGCTAATTAGATTCACTTGAGGGTCACTGCTTTGCCTATTCTTATGTAACGGTCACAACCTACTCTTTAAAATAACCTATTCTCAAATACTCACGTGTTGACCCTAGTTCTTCTTTAAAATAAGTTGCCTATGACATCGAAGGTTATATGGTCTCAATTAAAGATAAAAGATAGCATTATAAGATTTGAAAGGGAAATAATATAGCCGTTGAATTTCAAACATTTTTGGAGATGATCTAGAAGATCCATAGCTCATCATAACCAACCGAGAATAGAAGATATACAGAGCTCAAGTCCTCAAGAACCTTGCAAGGGAAGATATTTTCATTTGAGATTCTAGAAAATTAAGCCTTGAATCACAGTGATTCTTGATATTCCAAAGTTATTGAATCCTTCTCTATAAATTATAAAATTTAGGCAAACAATTGGAGAAGAATTGAACTAAACCAAGTTTCCATTAACGAGCTATAGACTTTTAGTTTTAGGGTTTCTTTTTCTCGAATTTGTTCAAAGTTCAAGGTGATTCACCAATGCATTTCAAACTTGCTACCATACTTTTTAAATCATATTTACCAACTTTGGTGAAGAAATCGAGTACGTAAAAATAGGTCTCCGTCACGTATCGTGTTTGATTGCATTTCTAACCCCAACAGTGGTGTGACTTACGGAGTATTTTCTTAAAATACACAAGCCCACATGCTACCTTTATATTTTTAAGGAAAAGGTAATGTGCCCCTGCACGGACGACGGTGAATACTGGAATGCCATGGAAGTAAAGATAGGGTAGTAGTATGCAATGTTTTGTTTAAATAAAAACTATGTTATTTCTATTCTCTTGTTTTAAATTAAATTTGTAAGTCCTTGACTTCATTTTAAAGTGTTTATGATGAATGTTTGCATATATTTTTTTAACGTATGCATGCGAAGATGTCACTAATTTATGCAAGAAAATTCGGAGCATTATATTCTATCCCTCATTGAGTAGGACAATGGTTGATGACTAATAATTCTGGTAAGTTTATCAACTCTACCCATCAATTGACACAACATTAGCAATAACCTCCACTGAAAACCTCAATTGGCATAGCCAATAGTGACTGACAATAATCTAGAGAATAATAATAGCAATAAGGTTGGGGTCGTGAGCATGAACACTTAAGAGTTGTAGGTACAAAAGTAAATGAGTGATTGTTGCATGAGCATTCCTTTTCGTAAAATGTAAAAAGTGCATCTAGTGCAACAATATTATAAGGAAGAGACTACAAGTCGGTAGCTCGTGTATGCTAAGTGAAAAACACGTGGAGAGAACTATCAACCTAATTCTAGGTGACAAATACAAAGTCTTATAAATAAGGTAGCTTCTCGCCGAGAAACATGAATGTAACATCAAGGAAGGTATAGTAGAAGCAACAACACTTTGACGATTAGCAACAGAGGATAGAAGAACGCATTAGAATCGAGGGAGAGCAACCTTCATCATCTATGAATGTAGATGAAGGGAAAAGCTTATTTCCCTGGGGGAGACATTTTCTTATTTCCTAAATCATCTTTGTATGTTTTCATTATGCAACAAGACATAGTTACTGTTGTATTTTTGTTGTTGAATGTGAAAATGTTTAGAAGCTAAATCCTAAGACAGGGAAACGTAATCTTAAGACGGGTAATTTAGTTATTACTTTATACTTGTGATAGTGATAAGGCATCAATCCTATAGAAAGTTGTGATACCAAAATATAAGGAATCACTTCAAGGGAAGTAAGATTCACATTACCTTATTGATCCAATATATCAAGTGAATAACACTTGTTTGAGATTCGATTCACTCCACAAGCAATAGCTATCATGTCTGGCTTGAATGATTCTAGACATGGAATGTAAACTACATATAATTGCAAAAAAAAACTTAGTCATTTGCTAAGGGAAAAGTTAAGAACACTTAACCCTAATGATAAGGAACCACTCCAAGTTGATCAACTATCTCAAGGCAAGAACACTTGATTGAGATTCAAATCACTCTACAAGTAAGGTCAATCATATCAAACTTCAATGATTCTAAACGTTCAATCTAAACTATATAGACTTGCAAATAAACTTAGCCATTGGCTAAAAAAAACAAAAATGTTAATTTTACTACATTTTTTTAGTCTCCTTTACAAAGGCAACATATATTGTTTTATATAGCTTCAAAATAAAATCCTTAACCTTACGTGAGACATTTTAATAGTTGTAACTTTCATATTTTTGGACCATAATTAGCCACTATGTAAATAATCCTTAATTACATTTAAGAAACACAATAACTCTAAATTATCATTGACCCAAAATTTATTACTATCTTAAAACAAATTAATAATTTATTCTTCTGTAACGTGGCATGAATTACAATATCATGTGATAATCATTCTAATAGTTTATATGGCTTGATTGTTAAGAATTATTATAAAATATTTCAAAGTAACTGAAAAATGTTTAGTTCTCAAAATGACTTAAGAATTCATGCCTAATTATAAGGATATGATTCAAGGTAATCGGAGGAAGTTTAGATCGTAAATTGAGATTGGGGTGGAAAGGGACCAAAATACACTTATGGCCTCAGGATGTCGCTCTAAGGTCAAGAACCAAGCAATATAGGTTAGTCCCTAAAAAGCACAGCGGAAGTCCTAATCTACTAAGACTACTAGGTTTTACTCTGACCCACAACCTTAGTCATTATAGACCTCGTACCATGATATGCATTATGATCACATGTTTTTGACAGGTTTACCCTACTTATGTTTCTTTCCAGATATCTTATCCATGTTTTATTTGGAGGATGTCGTGTTTCATGTTCCTATTTTTCCAACCAAGTTTACCCTTTTTATTTTATTATTATTATTTTTTTTAGGATGACAAGTTTAGATTCATGATATTCACTCACCATTTTACCTTTTTTAGGTCTTCTATCGGGAGTATTTTTTTTTCTTCTGCATAACAGGGTTAGGTACAATAAATTTGTAAAGTTAAAACCATGTAAGCTCTAATTTGAGGTAGACGCTATAATAAATTTGTAAAATTATATATTGAGAGACCTATGATGTTAAAAAGTAGTGCAAAGGCTATTATATTGTTGTAATCCTTTCCTGCTAAAAGCAAATGATACGGTTGTCTAAAGGTCCATGAGAAGAGATTTCGTGGTTATGAAGACAAAGAGGAGAAGAAACACTTATTACTCACACATGAGGAGTGGCTCGCACGGACGAAAAGAAATGATACGATTGACTTTACTTTTTCAAGTATTAGGGGACGTGGCAGCCATAACAAGGAAAATATAGGTCGTGAACGTAGTCACAGACATGGCCGCGGACTTGGTGGTAGAGGAGGTCGTGACAATACCTCACTAACACATGACAGTGCCAACCTCTGGAAGGACAAGAATATGATCAAGTGTTACACTTGTGGAAAATACAGGCACTATGCGGTCGAGTGTCGCAAGAAGAAGCATGATGAGGAGCCAAACTTCACACTAACACAAGATCAAGAGATTGCACTAATGTTAGGTAATAAGATGCTCAACAAAGAGGAGGTTATGGTGAACCTTCTAACAAAAGGAGAAAACCGAGTGGAAACAAACATTGGTACCTTGACAACGATGCAAGCAACCACATGACCGGAGATAAAAAAAAAAGTTTAAGGAGCTTCATGAGAAACTCATTGGAAACGTGAAGTTTGGCAATGGTTGAATTTTTCATATCCAAGACAAAGGATCCATCTTGTTCCAATGCAAGAACGACGACCAACATCTACTGACTAAGACATATTATATCCCAAGCTTGAAGAGTAATATTATCAGTCTTGGTCAGATGATAGAAGAAGGAAGCAGAGTGAAGTTAGATCGCTTGTTCCTCAAGATGTTCGACAGAAATGGAACTTTGTTGATGAAGGTAAAACGAGTGGATAACCGCCGGTACAAGATATTATTGGAGGCCAGTTTGCCCACCTCTTTATTGACGGCACGTACAGACCTAGCTTGTCTATGATATGCAAGGCTTAGGCATGTGAACTTGTAGGCACTCAAAATGATGGGAGAGAAGAAGATGGTTATGGGGCTACCCAAAATCATACACCCGAACCAACTATCTGTAACTTGTCTAGTCTCTAAATAAGCAAGATTGTCTTTTTTCAGCTCAAACAAGTTTTTGTGTCGAGCGACCAATGCAACTGGTAAATGCATATTTGTCTGGCCCGATCACTCCATCATCGATTGCTGGTAACAAGTATTTTCTCTTGTTGACAATTTTAGCGATTGGATGTGGGTGTACATGCTCAAAAAAAAAAAAGAGGCATTATGTATTCAAGAAGTTCAAAAGGCTCATTGAATGAGTCTAATCACAAGTTGAAAACCTTGCGCACGAATCAAGGTGGCGAGTACTTATCCCAGAATTTCTCAAATTTGTGGGAAGGAGGTATCAAGCGTCAATTCACTACACAGTACACTCCACAACAAA